TTCATTTATTCATTCATTCATTTTCTTTTCGGCTTAGTCCCTTATTAATATGGGGTTGCCACGGTGGAATGAACCACCAACATACAGCATATGTTTTACGCAGTGGATGCCCTTCCACATGTCTTTGGACTGTGGGGGAAACCGGAGCACCCAGAGGAAATCCACATGAATGCAGGGAGAACATGCAAACTCCACACAGAAACACCAACTGACTCAGCCGGGACTTCTTGCAGTGTGGCGACAGCGCTAACTACTGCGCCACTGCGTCACCAGCACCAAATATCAAATAGAGCAATGTCATTTGCTGAGATTGGAGCCGCTGGAGAAGCCTTTTTATTATATAATAAATTACTTGCATCTCAGAAGACCAAATGCAATGAAGACGTGGTGAATTTTAGAGGCATGCGATAAGCTTTAAGAGCAGAGATGCTCAGGATAGTTCTGGAGGTAATAATAAGAGGATCATAATAATACTGAACCACTGGGGTGACAATCAACCTGCTGGTTTGCCCATTAATGATGTTATTATCATCACATGATCTCTTATAACAAAATCACATGACTTGCGCATACTGGAAATTATTCATTAAAAGAGTTTCCATTGCATTTTATGCGCATATTTGTTAATGCGATATTCCAAAATGTCCATAAAAATAGATGTATGGAAGCATAGCTACACTGTAAAGAAATGTCCAGATTTCTGTGAATGTTACTGTAATATGTCACAGTAAATTACATTAGTATCACTGGTAACACTTTACAATAAGGTTCAATAGTTAATGCATTTACTAACATGAACTAATCATGAACAACACATGTACAGCACTTATTAATCATAATTAAACATTTACTAATGCATTATTAACATCCAAGTCCATGCTTGTTAACATTAGTTAATCCACCATGAGTTAACATGAACTAACAATGAACTACTGTATTTATTTTATACTGTATTTTACTGTATTTCTAACATAAGCAAATACAGTAGTAAATGTATTATTAATTGTTTGTTCATGTTAGCAAATGCATTAATTAACATTAACTAATGAACCTTATTGTAAAGTGTGACCGAATCACTTTACAGGATTTAACTGTAAAAATTCACAGTAATATATTGTATTCAGACTTTTATAGTGAAATTGCATGATTGAAGCTAATTACTGTACAAAGGGCTATATCTTTTTCATGTTTGTTATAGAAATTCAATCTCTTTTTATTTTATTCAGCATACACATTACTACAAATGAGCCTTTATGCTAGTATTGGCACTTTTTTCAGCTACTTAGAAATAACAGAATGTTATTGCAGCCCCAAACAATTAGGTTACATCTTCAACAATAGCTTGAAAGAAAATCATCCTGTTTTGAAACAACATGAATTTCATAATAAATTTTCATTTTTGGATGCACTTCACCTGTATTTAAACGGTTAACATGGAAATATTAAATATTTTTAGATGAACATAACTTTGCTTAGCCAAAAATGTAATAAACTGGGACAAAAGTAATTGATTTATTAAACCAAACACTGTTAAACACCTAAACTTTCTTCAAAGTCAGGGTAAATGTCAGAATGAATAGCTGCGCGCAGCCTGCTTCACAATAAATTATGATTAATTCTACAAGATAATGCTGTGAAATCACAGTAATGGACTTTACTGTCTTCTGTGAAGTTACACTATATGGATGAAATTTCACAGTAATTTAATGCAACAAAATCGCAGAAACTATGAACTACGTCATGATAATTTACTGTGAGTTTACATACAGTATTTACTGTGAAAGTAATGCAATTATTAGCTAGTAATTTACTGTGAATTTAAGGTCAAATAGTTTAGTGTGATGTTAGATGCTGATTTTTGACATCAGGGCAGTTTAAATGCATTGTAGGGATACAAAATGTGTACATTTGGAATTGAAACCTTTAGACGAATACAACTTTTCTTAAGCTCTAAAACCTTTTGTGTCGTTATTTTGTTATATGTCTTTATATTTGACATGTTCTCGACTTTATTCTGCATGTCAATTTGACGTCGTTTTGACATCCAGGTGCCCGCTGGGATGTTTGTTTGAGCAAACCCTCCATTACAGTCTCCAGAATGCTGGAGCGTTAATAAACATACCCAAGGCGCGAGACAAAATGGGAGGTCTGTTTCGCTAATGAGTAATGATTATAAGTTTAACACTGACTTGAACTCTTTCATGCTCTTGTGGCTTTAATCAGACACCGGTGAGAAAAACCAACAAGCGCCCCTCACGTACTGTCCCATGGTTAATGAGAACGAGAAAGGTTTCTGCTTTCCCAGCCACCAGCCTGACTTTAGCTCTTTTGGTTGAATTCAGATACTGCCGAACATTAAATTCGCTCGGAATCGATTTTAAAGTTATTAGTTTTTGTGTAAATCCTTAAATGGTCTGGCACCCCTGCTGAAAAATCTAGCTTAAACCAGCCTAGGATGGTTGGCTGGTTTTAGCTGGTCGACCAGCCTGATTTTAGTTGGGTTTTGGCCATTTCCAGGCTAGTTTCATTTCCGCCTGGTCTTAGATGGTCAGGCTGGGAGATAACCAGCTAAAACCAGCTTGACCAGCCTAGCCAGGCTGGGAGCCCAGCTAAAACCAGCTATGTCCAGCTAAAACCAGGCTAGTCAAGTTGGTTTTAACTGATTTTAAATGGTCATTTTCCAGCCTAACCAGCTAAGATCAGGCTGGAAATGGCTGGAAACCAGCCTGGAAGTGGCCAAAACCCCTCTAAACCGACCAGCTAAAACCAGCCAACCAGCTTAGGATGGTTTAAGCTGGATTTTTCAGCAGGGACCTCCTTATTGATCAGCTCTCTTACATGTATATAGTCCTGGTAGGTCATTAGGGTCATCAGAGCAGTCTGTACCTGGTGTAAGGGGATTGGGCTTTTGCTTCAAAATGCTTCCACCTCCCATTAGACCAGGGATGGGCAAACTCTGTCCTGGAGGGCCGGTGACCTGCACAGTTTAGTTCCAACACTAATCAAACACACCTGAACAAGCTGATCAGTGTCTTCAAGATCACTAGAAATCTACAAGCAGGTGTGTTTGATTAGAGTTAAAGCTAAACTGTGCAGGACACTGGCCCTCCAGGACCGAGTTTGCCCACCCCTGCATTAGACACACTCCAGCTTTACTTGTTTTTAGAAACCTTCTGAAATTGCGTCTTCATTCTTTGGCATTTGAGCATTCAGAGCGAGGAGAGGTTTGTGTTATGCTTTAGTTGTTATTTATTGGCTGTGTGTTTGTTATTTTAGGTAGTATTGATTGTGTTCAGCACTTTTGATCAACTCTGTACTGTAAAAACATGCTATATAAATCAACTACTACAACTAGAAAGGCTAGTTTCTCCAGCGGTTAAAGAGTTAAAGCAGAAGTAAAGAGTGACCCCCCCCCCCCCTCCTCCTTCTGCAGCTCTTCTCTCTGAAAGTGGCGTCTTTTGTGTTGGTCTAAACCCAAGACTCTCTAAAACTGTCAGACCGGTGACCCACTCACCCACGCTGTTAAAGAGGTTTTGGGGTCATGGGTTCACAACAAGGTGATCCGCGGCCGGTGTTTGATTTCAAAGGCTTCAGCTCTCAAAGATCCAGCAGCAATGAACTTAATGCGGCTAATTAGCATAGCATTGTAGAGGTGAGACAAAACACGACATCTGAACACTTACAAGCCAGACTTCCCATGCATTTCTCTTTACTGCCAACTGAAGAGTTCCTTTACAGGTTGTCTCATATCTCTGTTTGTTCAAGCTAGTTAAATCTTCCCTACCATGTGGGATTAAGTAGACACTACTAAGAAGACAAGACATGCAAACACTAACAAACCAGACTCCCAAGTTTATGCATTTCCCTTCATTGCCAACTGAAGAGTTCCTTTACAGGTTGTCTCATATCTCTGTTTGTTTATAGCTTGTTAGATCTTCCCAATCATGCGGGATTAAGTAGACACCACTAAATTAATCAGACAAGAATGAGTTCCCCAAGTAAACCAGCAATGCTAGCTCACATTCCAGCAGCAATGAACTTAATGCGGCTAATTAGCATAGCATTGTAGAGGTGAGACAAAACACGACATCCGAACACTTACAATCCAGACTTCCCATGCATTTCTCTTTACTGCCAAAAGAAGAGTTCCTTTACAGGCTGTCTCATATCTCTGTTTGTTATAGCTTGTTAGATCTTTCCTATCATGTTGGATTAAGTAGACACTTCTAAGAAAATAAGACACTTACAAACCAGACTTCCAGGTCTATGCATTTCCCTTTATTGCCCTCTGAAGAGTTTCCTTCACAGATGATCTCCTATTACTCTTTGTTTCTAGCTTGTTAGATCTTCCCAATCATGCTGGATTAAGTAGACAACACTAAATTATTCAGACTTAGTGTTTGGGCAGCTAATGGCACGGACAAGAATGAGTTCCCCAAGTAAACCAGCAATGCTAGCTCACAATTCAACAGCAAAGACCTTCATGTGGCTAATTAGCGTAGCATTGTAGAGGTGAGACAAAACACGACATCCAAACACTTACAATCCAATCTCCACAGTTTATGCATTTCCCTTTCTTGCCAACTGAAGAGTTCCTTTACAGGCTGTCTCATATCTCTATTTGTTCTAGCTTGTTAGATCTTTCCTATCATGTTGGATTAAGTAGACACTACTAAGAAAACAAGACATCTGAACACTTACAAACTAGTTTAACTGTTTATGCATTTCCTTTCTTTGCCAATTTAGGAGTTTTCTTTACAGATCATCTCCTAACACTCTTTGTTTCTACCTTGTTAGATCTTCCCAATCATGTGGGACACCACTATGTTTATCGGACTCAGTGTTTGGGCAGCTAATGTCACGAGCAAGAATAAGTTCCCCGAGTAAACCAGCTACGCTAGCTCACATTACCATTCTCATCAGCTTTGACATTTCAGTTTAACGCACGACTGGGCGCCAGACAAAAACACAAGGATGAAAGCATTGGGGAAGTGTCTTACCATGCCATATCCGCAATCCGTCCCATCAGCGAGCGGCATGTGCTGTGTTCGGCATCCTTTATGGTCACCTTCAGCACTGGTGCACCACAGACGCTTGCACTGTTTCTGCAGACGACAAGAGACATTTCAGGACAAAATGGAGAGATGATCCCTGCTGAAAAATCCAGCTTAAACCAGCCATCCAGCCTAGGCTGGTTTTAGCTGGATTTTTCAGCAGGGATGACTTTAATATTGGTTAATCTGTCCCATAACAAGTACTTGAGAGTTGTGGCCATTGTTTGAGAATGGATTTTGGTGGTTAGTAAAGTAAACTTTGGCACTACAAGAACCCAATGACTAGAATCCCCAATAAACAACACAGAGGTCAATCACAAATTAGCCATACCCAAGCGGAGTCTGCTATTCCCAGACTGTTAAATGACTAATCGGTCTCCCAAAGGGATAATAGACCAATGCACAAGGGAACTCAGCACTAAAAGGGACGATTCAATATAGCAAGGGGTTATTTGTGGAATGTGTCGTGTCGTATCATAAATGGACAGACATAACAGGCCAAAATGGAGAAATAATGACTTCAGTATTGGTAAATCTAACCCATAACAAGTGCTCGAGATTTGGGGTCATTTGTATGAGAATAGTTTTTGGTGGCTAGTAAAGTAAACTTTGGCACTACAAGAACCCAATGAACCAAAAATAAACAACACCAAGGTCAAACAGACAGTTGGGATCCCCAAGGAGAGTCTGGTATTCCCAGGTCATTAAATGACTAATCTGCCTTCTAAAAGGATGATAGACCAATGCACAAAGAAACTCATCGCTAAAAAGGACAATTTAATAAAACAAGGGATCATTTGTGGATTGTGTGGTGTCGTACCATAAATGAACAGACATTTCAGACCAAAACCGAGAGATAATCACTTCAATATTGGTGAATCTATCTTATCCCAAGTGCTCGAGAGTTGAGGTCATTTGTATGAGATTGGTTTTTGGTGGCTAGTAAAGTAAACTTTGCCACTACAAGAACCCGATGAACCAAAAATAAACAACACCAAGGTCAAACAGACAGTTGGGATCCCCAAGGAGAGTCTGGTATTCCCAGGTCATTAATTGACTAATGTACAAAGGAGCTCATCATTAAAAGGGATGAATCATCATATTATAAATGAACAGACATTTCAGGCCAAAATGAAGAAACAATGACTTCAATATTGATGAATATGTCCTGTCCCAAGTGCTCGAGAGTTGAGGTCATTTATATGAGAATGGGTTTTGGTGGTTAGTAAATTAAAATTTGGCACTACAAGAACCCGACGACCAGAACCACCAATACTGTAGGTCTGAAAATTTAACCAACAAATACAATCGAACAGAACTTAATCTGATATTTGATTGAAGCTGGATGTCAAAATGGATGTCAACACGGACTTGCTGATCATGAATGAAACTAAATTGTTGAAACAAGGAAAAATGTGTCCACCAGTGTTTTCATACATTTAAAGGTAATTTCAGGACAAATTTGGGAGATAATAACTTCAATATTGTTGAATCTACCCCGTCCCAAGGGCTCGAGAGTCGAGAATTTTGTATAAAATTGGATTTTGGTGGTTAGTAAAGTAAACTTTGACACGACAAGAACCCCATGAGCAGAACCACCAATAAACAACAGAAAGGTCAAACACACAGTTGGGATCCCCAAGGAGAGTCTGCTATTCCCAGGTCATTAAATGACTAATCTGCCTTCTAAAAGGATGATAGACCAATGCACAAAGAAACTCATCGCTAAAAAGGACAATTTAATAAAACAAGGGATCATTTGTGGATTGTGTGGTGTCGTACCATAAATGAACAGACATTTCAGACCAAAACCGAGAGATAATCACTTCAATATTGGTGAATCTATCTTATCCCAAGTGCTCGAGAGTTGAGGTCATTTGTATGAGATTGGTTTTTGGTGGCTAGTAAAGTAAACTTTGCCACTACAAGAACCCGATGAACCAAAAATAAACAACACCAAGGTCAAACAGACAGTTGGGATCCCCAAGGAGAGTCTGGTATTCCCAGGTCATTAATTGACTAATGTACAAAGGAGCTCATCATTAAAAGGGATGAATCATCATATTATAAATGAACAGACATTTCAGGTCAAAACCGAGAGATAATGACTTCAATATTGGTGAATCTATCTTATCCCAAGTGCTCGAGAGTTGAGGTCATTTGTATGAGAATGGATTTTGGTGGTTAGTAAAGTAAAATTTGGCACTACAAGAACCTCATGACCAGAACCACCAATAAACAACAGAAAGGTCAAACACAGTTGGGATCCCCCATCATTAAATGGGAAGAGTATTTATTACAAGGGGTCATTTGTGGAATGTGGCGTCGTACCATAAACGGACAGACTTGTGATCCAGGGCCGAACATGAGTTCACACTGCCGGTTGGCATTGTAGAGTTGACCTGGGAGCTGGTTAGGAAGGTTATACGTCCTCCCCGAGGGCTCATCCAGGAGACATTCGCCATAACCAGTGCTGAAAACACACAAACAGACAGAAACCAAGATATTTCAGACTGGTTTGGAGGTGTGGTGGGAAGGAGGGGTTAGTTCACCCAAGAGTTTTAATCCTGTTATTAATAACACACCCCTGAAGACTGATTAATACTTCTGCGTCAAGCGCACGCGTATGCTACGGCGCAGCCTACACATGGATGCATAGTCCTCGCCGTGCACCTCTCAAAAAATATAACCACACTTCGCAATGACCCAAAGCGCAAGCTCTGTGATTGGTCGGCTTGGTAGAGCTGATGAGTGTGGACGAGACTGAGAGCCGCGCGAGCCCGATGGAGCGAGTGTTTACAAGTGCAGAGTCCCGTGAAGGAGCTCCGGATGGAAAGTTTTGTTCTGTGTTTACCTCATGGTTAAGGTTGTTGCACATCCGCCGGTTCCTACCTCAAAACAAGCGAGTTTGAATCACCTGTACATTCAGGAAGCGTTCAGAAAAAGCATTCAGCGAAGAATCTCGACACAGGGGAACATGAACATCTACTGCCAGCTAGCGTTTCGGAAGTGTACAGAGCGACAGAAGCAGAAGTATAAATGCACAGCTACCCGCTTTGCATGCGCCATGGGTCATGTCAGTATCTTGACGCAGAAGTATAAACCAGTCTTGAAACCTTCGTACATTTTCAGAACAACATATCCAGCAAAGCAACCACAAACATTGTTGAATCATTCCATGTGACTTCAGTGGTTCAGCTGTTCCAACACAATCTCACGGCAATTCGTAACTTTTTCATTTAGTGGCTAATTCGTATGAATTCGTACGATCTAATTCGTACAATTTAGTACGATTTGCTTATCCCCCAATGATGGTTGGGGTTAGGGGTGGGGTCAGGTGCCACGCCTCCTTTTTAAAATCGTACCATTTCGTACGACTGTACTTGTACGAATTCGTACGAATTAGCCACTAAACTGGCAAAAGGTAAAATACTTACGTTTTCTCGTGAGATCAGGCTGGCTGTTCAGCTTTTTCAAAACAACCTGCCAACGGAGTACCCAAATCATGTTAAACAAGATTACATGGCTTACCCCATTGGCAGATTATTTTGCTTATTTTAAGGAGAAGCTCACCTAATTTTGATTTATTAATTCTGAAAGCAACACAGTGGATGCGTCCGAAACCGCATACTTCCATACTATATAGTACGCTAAAATCAGTATGTGAGCAGAGTAGTATGTCCGAATTCATAGAATTCAAAAATCAGAGTGCGCATCCCATGCATGCTGCGCTATCCCATGATGCCCCGCGAGCGAATTCATAAATGGGAGTAAAGCGACGCAATTGACGCAGGTATGACCATGACAAAATGGCGGATGTAGTACGTCCAAATTCCATTCATACTTTTCACGTTCATACTGTATAGAACGCACTTTTCTAACGGCCGAGTAGTACGTTTACATTTAAATGCAGTACCTACTGAGTAGTAGGCGGTTTCAGACGCAGCCAGTGTCTTTTTTGCTCGTCTGATGCATCATGATTAAGGAATATTTAGATATTGAGACTAAAAACAAGACAAAAACACTAAGTCCGAACAGAATTTTTGCAGTGTAATAAATAAATGATGACAGAATTGAAATATTTGGGTGAACAATCCCTTTAATTTGTCTTCCAAAAATCGAACGAAGATCTCAGGATCACTGGAACACCATAAAACAAATAATCAATGCCAGAAAAATCTAATTTAGCGTGAACTAACCCTCAAAGTCCTGACTTAAGGCTGATTTATACTTCTGCGTCAAACGCGGGCGTATGCTACGGCGCTGATGCATAGCCCTTCGCCGTGGCCATCGTCGTCACTGACGTGCACCTCTCAAAAAATGTAACTACACGTCGCAACAATGCATAGCGCAAGCTCTGTGATTGGTCGGCTTGGTAGCGCTGACGAGTCTGGGCCGGACCGAGAGCTGCGCAAATGACGCGAGCCCGATGGAGCGATTGTTTACAAGTGTGGAGTCCTGTGAAGGAGCTACGGATGGAAAGTTTTGTTTTGTGTTCACCTCATAGTTAAAGTTGTTGTACAGCCGCCGGTTCCTGCCTCAAAATGAGCGAGTTTGAGCCACTTGTACATCCCGGAAGTGTTCAGGAAAAGCAAAACAGCAGAGAAGAAACTCGACACAGAGGAACATGAACATCTACTGCCAACTAGCGTTTCGGAAGTGTGAATGCAGACCGACAGAGACAGCAGCAGAAGTATAAATGCACAGCTACGCGCGTTGCATACACCGTGGGTCACGCCGGTCACTTGACGCAGAAGTATAAACCAGGCTTTAGAGACTTTTCCCAATCCAACCTTTCCCTTTCTCCCTGCACTGTGCTTTTTCTATAGTATTTAATCACAATGAAGGTAAAAAGGTGTTTCAATTGAGTCTCTCCAACTCAAACGCCTCAGAGGAAGTACTATTGTACACCATTAATCAATTGTCAAAGCGGTCTTTCTGATTTCACCCAGCATTTGAAGGCCAAGTGTAAAACGCAGGCTTCAGTGGGTGGTCTGCTTTGTTACCTGTGATTGAATAGACTTAGTTAGACCTCGGCAAACACAAAGAGCTCATTTCAGAGTCTGAAAACACTGCCTTCTCTAACAATGGAGGGTCTTGAGGATCAACCCAGCGCTGCCAAAACCTACTTTTCATCACATCAGTCCAATATGTGTGTGTCCGGCGACGTCATCATGACATTAATGCCCACCACACCCTTCCTCTGAACACACATAGAGGAGTAATAAAGGAGCAGCTGTTTTTGAGGACATCGCATTGAGGATTGTTGAATTGCTGAGCTTAACTTCTGTGAATGGCTCTTTTACAGAGAGAGCTACATAAAGCTCCAGCTCTTTTGCCTTTTTGCATGCAGAAATTAAAGCTCAGGACAGATAATGATGCATTGCTACTTCAAATTGTCCATCTTTTAAACTAAACACCACTTAAACACTTTTATTTTATTCTCAGGATGGGAATTTTTGATGCATCTTAAATAGCTGATGTCATAAATGCTAATAGTTTATAGGTTAAAAGTTTATTGAGCTCCCAAAATGCAATTCAGAAGCAGAAATAGATAGTGAAAAATGAAAACTTAAATCACAAAATACAGAAAACTGAATAATAATAATGAATAAAGTCACACACACTACTACAACACACACCTTTGTGTCTTGAGGAAGGTAAGACGCACACACTTCTCCACACACACGTGTGTTTCTGAAGGACTCATTTGGAGAAACGCTGACAGAAAAGCCACACGCTCCCGTCTTTCTGCACCTAATATGAGTTGAGTTATGAGTTTGTTCATTATATCAGCGCGTCTGAGCTGAGAGAAAGCCTTCACTGCGCTATATTACAGTGTACAGCTATTAAAGAGCGTTAAACCTACAGTAAACCCAGATCTTAGAGTCTCACAGATATGATCATGTGTGAATTCAGACTCTTTGACATTACTAAAACCGTAGCTAATTTACACAGTGACTGCAGAAGCTCTTAACAGGTCACAAAAAATGGCAATTATATATATATATTGTTGTACCTCAAAGGTAAAAAGAAAGTTATAAAACAACTCAAATTTAGTTTATGCTGTTGTTTTTGCTGAATTACTATCATATACTTTTATATATTAATTAAATCTAATAAATGCAATATTATTTATTTATGTAGTCTGCTGAATTATTGTTATTATATTTATTATTATTATTATTATTATTTTAGAAAATATTATTATATTTTCATATATTTAATATATATTTATTATGATTTATTTTCGTAGTATGCTAAAAGATTATTATTATTTTATTATAATTATTATTACTGTTGTTGTTATAATTAATATGACTATAATTATATAATAATAATAATAATAATAATAATAATAATAATAATAAATAATAATAATTAT